ATTTTTCTATGATATAAGTGTACAAGCAGCAAAGAACTTTGGCTTACTTAGATATCATTGATGATCAAGCTTGAACAATTTATGTGCATCCTATAAGACTAGAGGCCATTTGAGATTATAATAATTACAATCAGTAAGAAGTGCTGAACTACGTAAGCGGAAATTGCACATAACACTTTGTCTGAATGAATCTCTTTTTAACTTATAATGCATGGAAAAGAAACATTTTCATAGCATGTGCTAATATAGTCCACACAAACTCCGATACAACTATCCTCGACAAAGTCAAGAACCTTACAACAATTAGAACCATACACCACTTATTGTAATCGAATCTCTAGTTTAGTTTAAGCTCAATTGTGATATGAGCTTTCGGTTTTCTTGAACCAGTCTCGAGTCTGCTCCGTGAAACTTACTACTACTGGTGCTATATAAGTAAACGTGGTCTCGACCACTTCATGGCTAGAATCCAGGAAACCTTTGTTTACACATCTCCTATTTCATCGTAACTTAACAAAATCCTGATGAGGAGGGAAGCTTTTACACCTAATTTACAGTTTTATTGAACGTTACTACAAGTTTTTTGTTGTCAAACCCATTTATTCATTACAATAGTGATTTCAATTTAAACTTAAAGTGGATAGATTATTTACTGTTTTCTATAAAGTATTTTCATAAATGTCCTCAATGCACTTAATTATTTTATTTCTTTAAGTGACAAATGTTTTCCTATCGATAATGCACGTGTGTAAAACGGGATTTACTCATTTATCCAGCTCTTTTTATACGCGCAATTCAATCACCAATCCTTTGACTGAGTTTAAATACGCCAATTAACCAAATAGAAATTGATGTTGCCACTCAACAGTATGTTGTCCGAATGTATACAATCTCAACTTAATGGTGATAGGAAATGCACAAACACGCAGCAGTCTTGAATATCAAACAACTTGCTTACAAAGCTGTCAATTGAATTACGAATATAATCGACTAGGGTTTCAATATTTTCATCCCTTTGAAATAAAACACTCATTCAATATTTAGCCCACACGCAATAAATTTGTTTTTAAACGCTCTCCCTTGGACATCAGATTTTTTAAAAATTTCTCTATGAAATTCAACAGCCCGTTTCAGGGTTAAAACTGGGGGATTTTAAAAGCGCACAACTCTCGTGAATTCATGATCCTGTTTCGTCTAGTACATCAGCTGTCGTAAGGATATGCTTCAATGGAGATGTGTGAAATATCAATTAGTGAGCGAGAGAATGTCTGTTATTATGATGAAATGTTGTATTTTTATATTCTGCATTCAATTTGCAGTTCATGATCGTTGAAAAAATTGGGAAAAACAATACAAAAACTCTACACTTTAAAAATTATTCATATCGTAAATAAACATATTTAAAGATATGCGATGCGTTACTTGGAACGGCTTTATAGACAACGTCTAATGTTAAAAGATACGACACAGGAGGTCTTGTACAACGTATATCAGTGTGTGTTTGACGTAACCAGACATATAATCCGCTCATTTTTAACATTTTATCCATGTATATTTGGTTTCTAAAGGAAGATTACTACCTATAACATTTTATAATTTATATCTGAAAGAAACAATGATATAATGAACGAAATCAATTAATTGGAAAATGTTTTAAAACTATAACATTCATCTGGTTTTAGATACGTTCACACAGTCTTCAAAAATATTTGAAAATACGGAATCAAAACCTAAATATGTTTGCTTTGTACTAACTAAATGTCTAACATAAGCCGTATTTCATAATGAATAAAATATTATCTTTCAGATGCAAAGGACTTGCAAATATATTTTCAACTAATAATTGTAGATGTTAGTTGGTATGCGTGTCGCTGTTCTTAAAGACATTATTCGGTTTATTACAAGAGGAAAGAATTTTGCCGTTGGATCGATGCCGTTGAAGATTGTATAAGTGCACAATCGTTGCACGATTTGAAGTGACATACGCAGTTCAACAGTTACGACGACGGCCTTAGGCTTGAGGAATTAATTAAAATACATCTTAAAAACAGATTGTGGGAAATAAAACAGTTCATTTCTGAACCTATTTCATTGTACATGAGAAAAAGCAAATAATGTAACACAGTGGCAAACCCACGAGATTTTTTGGACGAATAGACATTCTTAAAATAATGCAAAACGTCTTCTGTAAAACCAGTCTAAGTCGCAATCTCCCACGCAGTGGTCTCCCCTTACAGGATAAGATACATATTCGTCAAGATTTTTGATGATATGCATATTTTCAATGTTGATATATATTTTAAAAAGACACGGTTTTGCTAATGTTTCAAGAACGTAATCTGAAATAAAATAAAAACAATTTCGGAAGTATAAATATCATGAAAAAAATTTTGATATCGCACCGTTTATTTCCAAAACAATGGCCACTTTCGAAAGAGAAATCATTTAAGTGATTAATAATTTCCAATCTATACTTAACAAAAAAAATTGTTTTTCAATCATATCGACAGTCTTGACACCAGAGCTCAACTTATAATGTCGCAGTTTATTATTACAGATAAAAAATTGTTCAACGGTTTCTTTGGCGTATCTGCCATCTTGACACAATCATGTGATAAGACCATCCTCACGTGATTTGTGTAAGGGCGGTGGTTACTGGCCTTAGCGTAACCGGTGCGTGGAGTTTGTCTAAATCGGTGTCAGTTTAAGCATTTCCCGTCATAACAAATATCATCTGGAATCGCGACCATGAATAATGGAATTATATAGAAGAGTGATTGGTTACAATAAAAAAATTCTTTGCTTCATTTAATAACTTTATAAGTTCTGACTTATGCCGGCTTGTTAATGTCCATTTCTTTAAAGCGTGCAACACCGTAAGGTTAATCATCCTTATAGTTAATTTTAAAAATAACGAAGTCCATATACAGAGTTTTCACTATGAGGAAGATGAAAATACATGTACCTTGTTATATGCAAACTATATAACCTTAATCTACAAGCGTTTGGGTGACAGTAAGTAATGCGTTAAACGATGCAAAAGTATGGCTTAATTACCGGTACAAATTCTTTTAAATGGAAATTGCCACCTTATATATATGTGTTTTGTTTTGATATATTTGTATGTAAAGTAAATGCTGCTGAAGAAGGCCGCAAGACCGAAAGCTACGGCAAATTTAAATTAGCGTTTTTGCTTATATACGGCAAGTTAGAGATTTTACTTTTATATATATTATAAATCACAACATATATATGATAATTATTACGTTATACTTTCAATTTATATACTTTATTGAATATTTATGAGAAAAAATAATCATAATTAAAAGCCAATGTTATAATATTTCAAAAGTGTCTAACTTGTCAATGTATTGTAACAAACGTCTTATTTTATTAAAATGATAGGTTTTGATGTGATTACAGTACCTTTTGTCAAACTGAGGATCAGTCTAAAATCATTTCGTACTATGCAGAAAATTGTAAAATACGACCTATATATTCTATATCGAAATAACGTTGAGCGAACGCAAAAACGCAAAATCTCACTAAATATTCTAATGACTTCATCATTTAGTCTGATAAATATCGTCAGTCATTTTCATTTGTTTTCACAAGAAACTTCCAATGAAAATCCTATTTACCGATATTAACATGTTACTTTTGTTGTTATGAAAAGGTCACATGCACTAAACTATCAAACATAAGATGACTTGGATACTCCAGTGTCTAATTCAGGACATACTCGGACAGTATTGTCAGGGGTTGAAGGAAAATGATTATTGTAGAATACTCCGAAATATGAAATGATTATAGAGCTCATATAAGTGATGGTATATAAAACGGTCTTTTTCTACGCCGGCCTTTTATCAATAAGTTGGACAATCTGTGACACCAATGAATATATCAAGACGCCGCTATTACACTAATGAAATATGAGGAAGACGTCTGTGCTATGTTTTCGAATACCAAATGTAAGGTATTGCCCAGTAAATAAATTCGAGTAAGAGACGATAAATGTGACAGAAGAACAGATGGGATGGTAATGTGTACACGCAGTCATATATCATCAAATTAAAGGTAAAAAAGCCCAAACATTTTATGGTACCGCATACGAAAAATAAACAGTCCCTTTTAAAACAGTAAGAAAGTAAATATCATATAATTTTGTTTTACTAAATTTTGTTTTTAAGTACACATTAACAATTTGATAATGAGAAAAAAAAGCTGCATTATAACTTTTATTGATTAATCGTAGTATGTTTATGCATGTGTTTTGTATCAAACATATTTATAGGTTATTTTCATTACAAAATCTGCAATCAGTGCCAATAATTGATGTAACTGATTTCAATATATATTTTTTGCGGTCACGCTCTAGTTAGGAAATAGATATCAATTTTGAGTGCATTGTTGTAGAATAATGCATGATTGAGTTCAAATGCACAGGAATATAATAACAAAGTATTTGAATGATAAACCGTGCATTATTATATTATAATGCAAGAGCAATTAATACCTAATTCCATTCTAACGTGGTTTAATGAAAATATGCTTTGTTGTTGCTGTTGTTCGTAAAATTCATGTTGATATAATTTACAAAACAAAGCAAGCTCAACGCACAATATAAAGATCTTTGACTGTGTCTGTTTTCTGTAAAATTAATACCAAAATGAGTTCGTATTATTAAATACTTCCTTCTTTCAACGCGTTAAGCAAAGTAAACATATATTTCATAACAAAACAGAGCAACAATTCATATGTGATATTTGTTGTTATTACAGATATATAACGGTATCATGTAATACTGTTTTATTTATAATAGACACTATTGACAGGTGCTGATAAAAGAATATAAGTAACGTTAAGTCTAAAAACAATGGACTTCATTTTACAAGTTTGTTCTTCGTATTTTCTATGTTTTATCACAAATGAAACCGAAACAATCAGAAAAATATAACGAACTGTAAAGTGCGGCAATAAAATGAAAGTAAAAAACGAACCTTGCACGTGTTATCCATTGGAAAAAAATCCGCCATGAAAATCTTAGAGAAACATACAATAACCTTTACATACGCTATATTTTTCTCACAAACACTTTTCATTGAATGAACAACCATTAATATGCTCCCAACAACCACACCAAAGCGATTTACCTTCAAGAAAAAATAAAGACTTTCTTCAACTAGTGCGAACTTGTCTACTCTACAGATATATCAATTACACAAATGTTCCATTCTATAGTCAAGAAGAAGTTAGTACTAAACAATCGTTTACAATCTTGAGATATGATCATAAAAATACAACTCTTTCTGGCAGATTAAATCAGAGCAATAATTATGAGCAATTCATAAAATTTCAGTAGCGATGCTTGTACATTTTCTGTGAAATTTTGTAATAAAAAGCTACGTTAGCATGTGAACCATTTGCGCGTTCCTTTTATCGACAAGATATTCGGCCATAAAAACAAAAATAAAAGTACTGATTAACATTCTGGTGGAAAAAAATCAATGTATCGTGTTCTAAAAAAAGCTGAGCATCGCGATTAAAGATAATGAAAGTTCAAAAGGGGCTTTTCAAAATAGTTTAAGCCTTTGCATTTTTTGTAGAAAATTTGAAGTTCACAGCTTACCTTAATTTCAACATTATATTTATGTCCAACAATTGCACGTATGTTTGAGTAAAGTTAGATAATCCCATGTAACACATACAAAATGTATATTGCAACCTTAACTGATATGTATCTGACAAAATAAAATATGGAAACATCGTATATTTCACTCAACTGATACACACCTGGAAATGTGAAGTCATTATAGTTCCATAAAAATATGAACATAACAGCACATTGATTGTTAACTGATTTTCCAGAAAAAATGATGTTGCCTGGAAACAGTTACAAACAGAGTATACTGGGACATCTGACACATCAAACAACTACCTGCATGTTAAACGACATCCACATTCTGACATATGATCCGCGCCATGACAAAACCAACATAATGAGTTTGCGACCAGCATGGATCCAGACCAGCCTGCGCATCCGCGCAGTCTGATCAGGAGCCATGCTGTTCGCTATCAGTTTCTCTACTTGTTATACGGTTTGTAAGCGACAGCATGGATCCTGATCAGACTGCGCGACTGCGCGGATGTGCAGGCAAATCTGGATCCATGTTGGTCGCAAACCCATTATGTTGGTTTTGTCATGGCGCGGCTCATATATTTTATAATCATTTGATATACCTAAGGCAATAAAATGGCATCAAGATATTTTGGGGTGAATTCTGTCAAACATTTTAGAATGTTACACAAACATTTGTGACCTGATTTCATATATAACTGGAAACAAAAGTATTCCTTTACGATCAAGGTCTAACAAAAAAAAAAAAGATTTTAATATTGCATTATTTCCTTGTCAGTTGCAAATTTGTATTTAGCTACCAAGCATAGATTTGTATTACAATATCAGATATAGATGTCTTTAACGTTATCTAGTATAAATATGATATGTATTAACAATCACATATACTTGTAATGAATAGTATAGATTTAAGTGTGTTTGTTTAACAGTCAACAACTGCTGCCCCGAGGTATCTGGATGTCATTTGGAAACTGTTTAGAACAAGAGGCCGAGGGCCGAGTGCAACAGTTCCAAATGTCATCCCTGATACCGAGGAGCAGCGGCTTACTGTTCCACAAACACCCATGAAATAACTGTTATATTAACTAATACTTTGCAATCAAACTACAATATATTTTGCAACAAAAAACTAATAACATTTCTAAAACTGTTTAAATTGTTAACAACTGAATATTATAAACGTTGAGCAACATTTTATAACGCGGCGTTAACGGAAATACCCGATGACGTCAACAGGGGTGTACAGTTAAAAATGTTGACCGGTCAATAGTTCATTCTAATCATTGCGCATGCAAAAGATTTCCTTATAAATAAGGAATTAGTATTTATAGATGACATTAGGTTATAATATAAAATATGTACCACTACCGAATAACTCTAGTTTTGTTTAAAAATACCGAGGATAGTTTTGTACTACAATAACAAGTATAGTTTTGAAATACGTTACTGAGGAAAGTTTAATTTTTCAATACCGAAAAAAGTTTAATTTTACAATACCGAGGATAATTTTGTATAACTTTACCGAGGAAATTTTAGTTTTACATTACCGAGGATAATTTTGTGTTAGTTTTGTTTTACATTACCGAGGAAAGCTTAGTTTACTTAACACTAACAAGGATAGTTGTGAATATATATCTGGCGATTGTTTAATTGTACATTACAAAGAAAGATAGGGATGATATTAGTATAAGTATATATTTGTATAATATTTTTATTATCAATTAGTTATGAGGCTGATTTAATGACAAATGAAGTTCTTTTTAAATTATTCAAATGTTAAAAGCTGAATTAAAGCGTGACATGATGTAGGTATTCACTAGAATATACTTCAATTATGGTGACATAGATACATATACAACATGTAATACACATTCAGTATGCTAATTGATAAAAACTGTCAAAAACCTGTTTCAAAAATTGTTCAAAATAACATTCAAAAACAAGTATTGAAAATGTAAAACATCTTTTAGATATTTGTATATAAAAAAGGGTGTATATGATCAATGAGCCAATAGGAAAACCAAATAAACAAACATAACAACAATAACAAAACACATCCCGTCCCTGTTTAAAATATATCGCATCCAACTACTTTTTTCTTCGTTTGATTTACATGTGTTAAACATGGACACATGCTGAGCATTAGTGCTTGATACTTTATTAATCTTTGAAATATTTCCTCAACTTTTTCATGAATTTCCACTTGACATGAAACTTATATCTTCGCTAGGAAACAGCGCAGATGTTCTTTTTATGTAGTTTACACTCAGATTCTTCATACAAAATATCTTTCTTAACTTTGAATATTTATACTATCATGGTGTCAGGAAAGTTGGTTCAAGCGGAAATACTTATTAACGGCCTGGATCACAATTTATTCAGTCAAAGAGCAGAAAGCAATTTTTCTTTTATTACCACAGAGTTTAATTTTTTATAAATACTATAAATTTCTAATATTTAAAAGTAACGCGGAAACATTGTTTAACATAAAGCGGAAACGTTAAATTATCGTGTGCTCACTTCCTGATATCGCCTGCAGTTTCAACTGTTTTGGCATTGGATATAATAATTAACAAGACATACTCATGGTTGAAATATTGCTGGTAAATTTTGCAGTCTCTGTAAGAAACATGTAAAGGAAGTTTTTTATATTCTTCATAACATGATAAGCACATACCTTTCTGTTTCACGGAAACGGTAAAGAAAAACATAATAATTTTAATAGATTTTTTCTGTACCTTCTTTATTTAAAAAAAATCTTTCATCAACACCGGAATCAACTTCAGAAGTCTTTGATTTGGTTCGAATAAAACCTTATTTTTTTATACACGTAAATTCAAATTACGTAAAAATCATCAGTATGGATTGTTTAGTTACGGTGAACAAAGCCAGATATTGTAAAGTGATAACTAAAGATTGGGACATACGAAACAAGTTTTGGAGGAACGTGTGTTTTAAGGAAAGAATAAAATTCACGTTAGCATAATTATGTCGTATATTGTAGATGTTTAAACTTAACATACACGCAACGTTGTAATAAATTGTGATGTTCGCAGATCCTAATTCGTGTGATTAATGATTCCATTTAAATGAATATGAATAAAAAGAAAATATTCATTTCATTTAAATGAATTCCATAGAAACTTGTGAATAAAAGAATATCCTCTAAATAACTGAATTATGCAACACACAGAGACCATTTAGAGTCAAATAATGCACAAATGTATATAACTATTCAACATAAGAATAAAATCTAGAACTCAATTCAAAGTAAACGCTTAATTTATATTTTGCTATGTATACTTATGAGAGTGTTTTAAAAAAACTTATACTTCTTAGAAAAAGAGTCCAATATACATATATAACAAAAGTGACTTATATAAGATATAACGGAACTGCCACTGCTGATTCCTATTAAGTAAGGCACATTTCAATTAAAAACATAATATATTACTGGTTTAAATATTTAAACATGTAAAATTCGTATGCTAAAAAATGTGTAAATCACTTACCCTATTTCTAAGAATTTACAAGAACTAGCAACACATGTATCAATCACTCCATATTGACGCCTGCCACAGTTCGTATTACGCTGTGTTTATCTTATATTGACAAATTTGAGCGCGGATCATTTAGTCGTTAGTACGGCGGAAAAATTCTACGATTTCCGATATTTTATCATATACCGAAAATATCCCATTGACAGGAGAATGCCCAAAGCTTGCATAATATCTGTACCCATCTAATGTTTTGCATCACAGAAAGAGGCAATATTCAGTAATAGTATTTTTATCAATAAAAGAGAGGAGCATATATGCAGTGGAACATGCATGGCTTGGATAAAATATCGTCATCTCTGAAGTTCACAGTACTGTTATACTTACATTTTAACCACTATAAGATATTCATGAGATTGTAATTCAATGTTATTTAATTCAATGTTATTTATAAAAACATTGGATGTTTTATATAGGACGGTGAATACTCTATTATCTTAAGTAATGATAAAGGAACGAAGAGATATTTTGCTTCACTGTATTTTTTTAAAGTAATTCTTTGAAATGCGAGTGCCCGTCTGTTCGAACAAAATGCAGTGCAGAAAATTGTCTCAAATCAATGACAAATTGATATGATTGTCGTACAAATTAATGAAGATATAAAGTACCTGCTGAGAAACTGTTGTCATTGTAAATTTTAATATATGCAGAATTCTTTGTCAATGTCTTATGCAACCTAAAGTGACGTGAGAGAAAGAGAGTTTCGCGCTTCAACATTACGCATAATAACGGTCGGCTGGTCTTGAATATTGATATGGTATACTAAAGTAAATATCGCATCCCACTGCAGGTGATAGAAGAAAATGTTTACCCTTGACAAGTTGATGTCACCCGCAATTGACGCCTCGGATAAACATTTCGTTCTATCACCCCCAATTGGATGTGATATTGATATAACTTGAAAAATATCTTCTTTTACACTTTCTTTGTTGAGCAAAGATAGAACGTTTTTATTAAGATGTTAAGGACCTGGTGTATTATATACAAT